CCCCAAAACCCCAAAACCCCAAAACCCCAAAACCCCAAAACCCCGATATAAAAACTGCCGATTGACTTATTAATAAAATTAAAATTATGAATATATTTTCAAACGATATTGGAGAAATTCCCCCTATTTCTGGCGAAATGAATCTAGATCCTCTCAACTTAGACAGGGACCTCTGGAACCAAAGCTTACATGGAGATGAGATTAGGTATGGTATTACTATATCCAAGCAATAGCATGAAAATTTAGCAAATTTGATTACTTTGAGCACTTGAAGCCATAAAATAATCTCTGTATTTCTTAGTGGTCCTATTGGTAGCTTTCAAATAATCTTTAAGTTAAAATTCTTACTCAACTTAACCTGAAATTTCTCTGAGATATGGCGAAATACATAATTAGCTCGATGTTAAATTTAGCTATTCATATTGCTTAAATGGTTGAATAAATGTTAAAATCTGACATAAAATCAACGACTTTTCAGTATATGATTTTCAAGTAAATGCATTGAAAGAAAGGAGAAAGATCCAAAACCTCCTGACCCACTGAGGATGCTAAATTTTCCATATATTTTCTCTGACATCAAGCCCTTCTATAGGCTTTTAAATAGACAAAATGAGCCAACTAAATATGTTTTCTAGAGAATTTGATCTTGATCTACAACATTCAGAGAGAGCAGAACTAGTTAACCCATACTTTGATGAAGAGTTTAAGAGAATCTACGAAAATGACCAAGAGCAAGAGGATACTACTTCCACTACCCTCACTAGGCATGAAGGAAGGATCATATTAGACATGACTAAACAAGAAGCTCTTAAGCTCCTTCACAAGGCATTCAATTGTAATGAGAATGTATTCTCCTGTCAGGAGTATGAAAACTCTCACGGGCGACAAGGAGAGGAACACTCGAATAGCGAAGAGGCTCTTTTAAAGCACTACAAAGGAAGCCTGGAACAGATGGTCAGTAAGTATTCTTACGTTTAGCCAAATCTAACCTTGCACTGTAGAGACTTTCAAAAAGAATCTTGAAGGTAGAGCAGACTCGCTAACGACGAACTTGTTCAGGTGCGGCCTTGTCAAAATTCTGACATATATCTCTTCTAGTTTGACTAGAACTAATTTTTGATCATTTAGAAGGACTAAGAAAGAGTCAAACTATTTCTTAGAGAAGAATGGAAGTACAGCAGCAAGAAAGAGCATGGTCTTCTCAAAGTTCTTCCTCAGCTGGGTCAAGAACTACATCAATAACTTGTGCAAGTTCCACCATATTGAGTCTCCGTATGAGAGAAAGTATTTGTTCTTCTACCACATCGTGCTCAGCTACCCGAAAGAAAAAGTCTTGGCGGTGCTTAATTTCTTCTTTGGTGATCAGCCAGAAGAGCTAAACAAGTATCAAAATCTCTTAGAGGGAACTAAGGTTCAATCAAAGAAGGCAATCCACGATTATTATACTCTAAACTCTTACTTCAAAAGGATTCTGGACAATTTCAAATCTAATCTAGATAAATTTGGAGAAGATCTTGTTGGTTGCCAAACCTTAATAGCTAAAATGCTCGAAACTTACTGTAAAATTTCTGGCGAAGTCAAGCATGAAATCCTCTAAATATACCATTTAATATATTCAAAAATCTTTCAAATTTGGAGAAATCAAATGGGGTTTTGGGGTTTTGGGGTTTTGGGGTTTTGGGG